GCTTTATACCTCTCTACCGTGCCATCAGCCCTATGTTTGACTGTGAACATCCATTTACATCCAACTGGATCCTTTCCCTTAGGAAGATCTACTAGTTCCCATGTGCCATTTTTATGTAGAGCATTAATTTCTTCCTTCATAGCATCTGTCCATTCAGGTGCTGAAAGAGCTTTTGCCACATTCTTGGGGATAGGAACACTGTCAATGGAARTGAGAAAGGCCCGAAAAGAGGGTGAAATGATCCCATAGGAAACAAAGTGGGAAATGGGTTGTTTAGTGGTGCAAGATCTAACACCTTTCCTGTGAGCAATAGGAAGGTCAAGGTCATTAGCAACAGAGGTATCAATAGCAATAGGGTCAGGGACATCGATAGGAACCAAGATACCTGAGTGAGTATGATTCGCCCTCGGAGAGTTTGATGGCATTGGAGGTACAACTTCTAGGTTCTCCACAGCTTTTGCACTTGGTTGGCCTTTGTGACGACGAAAGAAGACACGAAAAGGAGGAGGGAGCTGAACCAGTTTCTCCTCATTCCTACACTCCCCTTGAGGAGAAACAGGGAAAAAAGGCTCTCTCAAAGAAAGAAACGTCCATAGAAACATAAAACTTCCGAGAAACAAGATCAAAACAACGGTATCCCTTATGAGTGAAAGAATACCCCAGGAAGATGCAAGGAATAGCGTGAGGGTCTAATTTTCCATGAGTGGGTGACAGATTTTGGACAAAACAACGACAACCAAACACACAAGGAGGAACGGAAAGAAGGGGAGCCTTAGGAAAAGGAATCTGATGTGGGGCTTTGCACTCTAACCAATGAGAGGGCATACGATTGATGAGATAGGTAGCACAAAGGACAGTCTTAGGCCAAAATTGTTTTGGGACATTCATATGGATTAGTAAACCCCGGGCCACTTCAAGGAGGTGTCGGTTCATTCTTTCGGCAACACCATTTTGTTGTGGTGTTTGGGCACAAGAGCTATGGTGAAGTGAACCACGTGAAACAAAAAATTCTGTGAGATCACTATGAAAATACTCTTTGGCATTATCTGATTGAAAAAATTGGATTTCAGTTTGAAATTGGGTGAAGATCCGCTGAAAATCTTGGATAATTTTTGGTACTTCATTCCTTGTTCGCATGGGATATACCCATGTATATCTAGAATAATCATCAATAATGGTAATAAAATATTTGTAGCCACTCTCAAATGGTAAAGTAACAGGGCCCCACACATCATAATGAACAATGTGAAAAGGAAATTAAGATTTATTATTCTTTGAAGAAAAATGAGTTCTACACTGCTTACTCAATTGACAAGTTTGACAAGAAAAATCTGAAATTGACACCGACTTAAACAATTCTGGAAACACCACTTTTAAAGATTCAAAAGATAAATGACCAAGACAACAATGCCATAAATAGACTTGACTCTTATAGGACTAACTCTTAGACTTAGTGACTTGAAGACCAGTCTTATTCTCCAGCATGTAAAGTCCATCCACCATACATCCTCTACCAATCGTCTTCCTTGAGGCCAGATCCTAGATCACACAGTAAGAAGGGAAAAAGGTAACTGAGCAGTTTAAGGAATTACTAATACTACTAACAGACAAGAAATTAATGGGAAATTTCGGGGCATGTAAAACATYCGAGAGTGTAAGGCCAAAAGGAAGAGAAATGGTTCCTTGACCAGCTATGGTAGTGTATGATTCATCAGCTAGTCTCACCTTGTCTCTTCTAGAAAGGAGGTGATAGGTTTGAAAGTAAGAGAACATACTAGTCATGTGTTTAGACGCTCCAGAATCAATGATCCAGGGAGTGTCAGGGGGATGAGATGCAACATGGAGGGCTGTGATAGAGTTACCTGATGTAGATGCAAATGAAGTTGAAGGAGGAGCATCCATTTGACGAATTGCTCTACCATAGAGCTCTAAATGGTCATGGAAGGAATTAATAATATCCTCCTTTGTGTCAAATCCAGAGACGTGAGTTGGTGTCACAGTAGTAGTGGGGGGCTGATTTTCCTGACGAATTGCTCTACCATAGAGCTCTAAATGGTCATGGAAGGAATTAATAATATCCTCTCTTGGGTCAAATCCAGAGACGTGAGTTGGTGTCACAGTAGTAGTGGGGGGCTGATTTTCCTAAGAGGCCATGTTTGCCATAGTGTTCTTTCTTGTACTTTGCTGTCCTGACTTTTTATTCAAATCTGAACCTTGCTTCTTATTCAAATCTTGAGCCCATTTTGGCTTCCCATGGAATCCCAGCATGTATCTCGGGTGTGTTGGGGTTTTTGGCAACGAGTACACCACAGTTTATCTTTGTCATCCGCCCTTTTTTGAGAGTCCCCTCTCTTAAAGGTGTTCCCACCACCTGTAATCACACTTCCTTTTGCTGCCAACCGAACTGCATCCCCTCCAGAACTGTTCATCAAATTCCTTCTACTTTCTTCTGATTGTACAAGAGCATAAACTTCCTGGATGGAGGGAAGATTCTTGCTACCTAGGATTTGAGCTCTGATGGATTCATATGCCGGATTCAAGCCATGTAGAAAAGCAAACACTCTCTGCTGAGATGCAAGTTTCTTGTATAATTTTGCATCTTCATCACGCTTCTAGTCCACACTCTGATAATGATCTAACACCTCTCCCCCTGTTTGCAAGTGGATGATTCTGCCTGTAACTGATAAATCTTTGCATAGTAACGCAGCTCAAAATAGGTTGATTTTTCCTATTCCCAGATTTCATTTGTCGTTTCAGCCCACATAAAGTTCCTTCTTATTTGGGGTTGCATAGGCACTAAAAGCTAAGACATAACCATGCTGTTCTCCTGGTTCCATCTGTCATATTCAGCATTCCCAGAATTGGGTTATTTGATTCTCCCATTTATATAACCTATCTTTTCCCTTGCGGTAATGTACAACTTGATTCCTCTTGACCATTCCAAATAAT